GAGTGGTTTACAGAGACAGTCAGTTGTCCATTCAATAATTCATACACATTTTATTTCAGATCATTGACTGCAATCCCCTCAGTGTGACCTCACTTGTTCTACTTCCTCCTTCTTTCCTACCCTTCTGACCTTTGTCCTTGAGCATGTGCAGCCCTGGCGATGATGTGGATTAGGCATTGGGCAGCTAACTGCCAAGTTGATGGTTCAAACCTTCCAGCTGCCCCACATCAGAAAGGGGACACTGCCTATTCCCATAGAGATTTAGTCTCAGAAACTGTAGTTCAAATCAGACTGACAGTGGCAATGAGTTTGGGTCGATTAGTCTGAGGAGTGCATTCCTACTCACCTTCTGTTGTGTGGCCGAAAATTGAACCACAGGGGAGAGGTCGTATCCAGACTTGAAGGGTCAGTAACAGTCATGGTCTTAGGGTTCCACCGGTCCCTGTCCAACTGGTAAGCCGCTTTTTTTTTTTTTTTAATTAAATGATTTTGAGTCTTGTTCCACATTTTTACCGCACTCTAGGTAGGACCTCTTAATGCGACCTCTTTCAGAATGGTTAGTGGTGGGAGGCCGGATGGTGCAGTTCTTCGTGTTGCTGGGTCATGGAGAGTGATGTTCATGTGCTCTACTCGTCCATTGGATTGTGTCCCTGCATCTTCTTCCTTCACTCTGCTTTCCTCCAGATGAGGAGAGATCAATAGTTGTGTGTTAGATTGCTACCCAAAAAAGTTTAGAACACTGACTTTGTTATCCCAGGCCCAGTAACTTATTCCGTCAAGGTATTTAGCTTATAGCTAAGAAGTTTTAAAAACTTTTTGTAAGTTTTCATTCACGGACAAATCTGCAGCATAGTTGAGGAGTTGTGTAGAAATACCCTGTCAAACCTATCTAAATGGGTATAATCACCTTGTCGGTCTGCAGGCGTGTCTATCTGTGCATTCACTTAAGAGTTTATTATTGTAGAATTCTGTTTGATTGGTGTAAATTCTGTTGTCTCGTACTCCTTCCAGTGTCTTCCTCTGCCTTCATTTTTTGCTGACCTCCGTCTTAGTATATGAGGGAGCTTCAAAGAGTTCATGGACAATTTTCATTGTCTTGTCTTTCCATTTTCCCATGAACTTTTTGAAGCCACCTCATACGCCTAACCCAGGTTACTACCCATTTTTTTTCTTTCCTAACTCTTCCCTCCCCCCACCCCACCCCCTTGCCTGGTAGCCCTTAAACAATGTATGTGAAAATGTTTTCTTTTTCTAATAGTGGTTGCTTTCAGTCTGTCCTTTCGTCATTGGCTTATTTCATACAGCATTGTAGCCCCAGGTTCAACCATGTTGTGAGGTGTTTTGCAGATTCACTGTTCTCCAGTTTGCAGTATTCCATTGTGTGTACATAACATAGTTTATCCATTCTTCCTTTGATGGACAGTTGTTTCCATCTTTTTTTTTTTAACTGTGCTTCAATGAACACCATGTGCATATATCTGTTTGTGTCATGGCTATTATGAGTTGGGACTTAACGCACTGTTTTCCAGTGGTTGAGCATTCTACAATCCCACTAGGCGTGTATGAGAGTTCCAGTGTCTCCAAACCCATTCCAATATTAGTTTTCTGTTTAACTTTCTTTTAATGCTGACGGGTGATTGATAAGAGATCATTGTTTTCCTTTGCAGCTCTGTGATAGCTAATGATTGTGTGCATTTGTTGGCTGCCTGAATGTCCTGTTTTGTGAAGTACCCATCCATGTACCTGCCTGTTTGTCTTTTTGATGTTAAGGTGTTAACATTTCCTTTACTATTAGAGGTGAGACCTGTTGAGTATGCCATTGCCAAAAATTTCCCCCAGTTTGTGGGTTTTCGTTTCACTCTGTTGAATTTTTTTGATAAGCTCAAGTGTCTTAATTTTTAGGTGGTCCCAGAAAGGTAGCTTGTCTTCTGCTGTGTCTTTGTGTCTATGTTTGATAGCGCAGTTCTGCCATGTTTTGGAACCCATAGGTTTGTACCTGCTTTACTTGGATGATCGTTCTAACCACCCGGGCCGCATGCATACACCCATGTAGGCAGTTGCCGTACTGGTGTTCAGCTTGGGCCCTGGAGAAATTGCTAATTTTGTGAGCTCAGTAATGCATTTAAAAGGATGTAGGCGTATTTTAAAATGTTGTGAAATACTTTTTAGTGAGAGCCTTTTCTGGTTACCTAGTCATCCCTGTCCGAAACAGAACCCCATCTTTTGCAGCAGCTTATGGCCTTGTGCATGTGCATCTGGGCTAGATAAAGTTCCAGAAGTACAATGGCTGGGTTAAATGTATGTTTATTTAATTGGATATTTCCAAATCACTCCCCAAAGAGGAATTTGTGTTCATATCAGGAGTATAAACTACCTGTTTCTCCATGTCTCCTCATCAAATGAGAGCTTTGCCAGGTAGTGAGGTAACAAATGCATTGTTGTGTTTGTTTTTGAAATTATAATTAGGGAGTTTGATGAACATCTTACACATTTGAAAGTGATTAGTAGGGTTTCTTCTGCAAATTGTCATTTTTCCTCATTTTTAATTTTGTATTCAGGTTGTCCATTTTTACTACAAACTTGAAGCATTTGTTAGGAGGAATCAGCCCTTTCTCTTTTGACTTGTGTGTATGATATTTTTTTTAATGGTTTGATTACGTTCAACTTTGAGCCCTCTTAATTTATTTTGGCATAATGTATATGGTAGTTGAAAAATTCCTAATAGGGTATTATTTTGCGGTATTGATGTGGTGGTGGTTGTATGCCACCGAGTCAGTTCCAAATCATAGTAACCCTATATAGGGCTTCCCAGGAAGCAGAAAGCCTCATCTTTCTCCTGCAAAGCGACTGGTAGATTCACACTACTGAGCCTATGGTTAGCAGGCCAGCTCGGAATCCTCTAAGCAGTAGAGGAGCCCGGGTAGCAATTTGGTAATCGGGCTATTTCTCCAGTTACATGCTTAAAACCAGTGGTTACTCATACCTAAAATATCTATCGGGTTACAGAATAAGAATATCTGATTCTGAGTTATCTAATGATAAATCTGTTTCCTTCTTTTCATCTTTTACCTCACTCTATCTGCTGGGTATTTTCAGAACAACGTGAGTAAGGGTAACAGTTGTGAGACTAAATCACTAGTAGAAGTTTAGGAGTCAGCACAGTGTTCCTTCTCGGCATCCCTAGAGAGGACGCTGTGCCCTTGTTCCCACCTGGGACAGTCATCAGGTAAGCTCGAGTGAATTTCATAGTTGGATTATATGTTGTTGCTAAATGCCATCGATTCCAACTCTGTAGCAACCTTGTATAGAGTTTCTAAGAAAATTTCACTGGTGTTTGTCTTGTTCTTCCACGCACTTTCTGCAGCATGCTGTTGAGGATTCTGCTAGTTAGCATTATCTTCTGGGTTTCCCACTGATGTCTACTAGTGGCATATTCTCTTCCTCTCCCTGTCAGGAGCTGCAGAGCTCCCCTGGTGGCTGCTCTGGTCTGATGGCAGATGTCAGGTGCCCTTTTTGGTGGGGAGTTGTGCTCCTGGATCGCTTTCTTGGTTTACTCTTTGTTGCTATCTCCTAGAAAGCCGTTATTTCATCTAGGCTTTCAATGTGGAGATTTAAAGTTGTCACCTCAAGAAACAGGACACCTGTAATGACTTGAAGAAGACTGTATTATGCAAGAAGGAAAGGCATAGGGTAGTTGTAGTTTTTGCTTTGAGTAAATGATGCCCTTTCTTTTTAAGGTGGGCTCTTCATGAAGCTTTTTTGGCCTTAAGGCTCTTTTCTGGTACTAAATTGTAGCTTGTTTTCTCTGTCATTCTTCTGCAAATAGTGAGTTTATAGTGAGTTTAACTTTGAGATCCACTTGAAATTTTTTCTGTAATAGGTGAGTTTGTCCTGTGTGCATATATACTTGAAGCCTTCAAAAAGTTGGTGGAAAAATTGCATTTAAAAAAACCAAGTTCATTTTTACATGGACATTTCTTTGGAAGACCTCTATTACACCGTACACACGTTAGAGTTTACAGTGAGCGAGTGTTTTGTACTTCACTATATGGCCTGGGCTGGGGGTTAGCCCTGTGATATTTTGCTTCAACACTTTGAATCCGTTGTGCTAAAATAATCCCCCCTCAGCTCAGAATCTAGGACATGGACTATGTGATCACAGTTTGTCCACCTTCCCTGCTAGATGGTGGCATCAGGCAGCAGTTGTCTTTCAAGTTAAGTTCCTAAAATAGGATGCCAGAACTAAAGTGCAAGGGGCTTCACACAGTTCATGGCAGGATGAAATGAAAAGCTAGTAAAATTTTCCCACAAACTTTTTGAAGTCTCTGTGTCATTATCTAATAGATTTTTATGTGGAGCGTTATCATATACCTGCATGAAAATCACTTTAAAGAGAGTTTTAAAAGAAATTCAGATTACTACAAGGCAAGGCATTGTTTCTAGCCTTAGAAAAGTGACTGTCAAATGTCCACATTATATCTCAGTGGTTTTGTTATGCTTGTGGTCAACTACTGTCCACACTTCACCAAGTCAAGTTAAATACCCAAAGTGTTCTCACCAGGGAAAGGAGTTACAGGCGTTTAGCTGATATACCTTTCAGACTGTACCACTCAGCGGACTCATGGTATAGCGCTGTAGAATCAGCACTGACTGTGAACCACAAGGTCGGCAGTTCAAACCCACCACCTGCTCCTCGTAAACCCTATAAAGGGTCACTGTGAGTTGAAACCAACTCGATGGCACTTACAACAAGCACTCAGCAGAAAAGTCACCATGAGATCAGCCAATGCCAATCCAGTCCAGCTGCCAGTCACACCACCTTCTTCCAGCAGGTCTATCTGCCTTGCCCCACGTACTTCTACATAGCTGTGGGTACTTTCACGAGTTCATTTGTTAGATGTCCACAACTGAAGGGGTTTGTTTCTCAGGAACATAGTTGAGAGGAATCTGCAAGCTCCAGCGGTAATTCAACCCCATGTCTCTTCTCTGTGCACACCTAGGGTGAGGATCCATGACCTTCGCACTGATAAAATTGCCCTGTCCCTCTCTGCCCACCAACTTGGCGTCTCCTCAGTCCAGATGGACGACTGGAAGATTGTCAGCGGTGGCGAGGAAGGCCTCGTGACTGTGTGGGATTATCGAATGAACCAGAAGCTATGGGAGGTGCATTCCAGGTAGGTCCTTCCTCCATAACTCCCGGTGGGACGCACAACCTGTGAAGACAGCCAAGTCCACTACGGTGGGGCACTGTGGAGCTGGCCAGCCGTAGGGTCCTTACAAGCACACCTAGGAGCTGGTGAGAGTTGCTTGAACCTCACCTGTTTCCAGAGGCACTGTAGTAGGTCTCCATCCTTCAGCTGTAACTAAGGTTGACACGACCTGTGGTAGTTCCATGTTAGCAGGCAGTCCCTGGGCTACCTAGGGACAACTATTTGCCCTCACTTGGCCATCATTGAACAGCCTTGCTCCCTACAAAGTCTTGGTTATTATCACTTTCACCGACTGCACGTGTAACTTTTACATCAAGCCTGATCTTGGTGATTAGCAACCTCACGCACTGCAGGGGTCCCTTGTCTCAGCTCTCATTCCCATTGAGTTGATTCTCACCGACTCAACCGAGGCTGTAAGTCTTTGCAGTAGCAGAAAGCCTCCTTTTTATCGCAGAGCACGTGGTAGGTTTGAACTGCCAGCCTTGCATTTTTAGCTGTCCAGCAAGAACTGTACACACCTGTTCTGACTGTTGTCATCGACCCAGTTGTTCGTAACCCAGAGACTGCATGTAAAAAAGTCAGCCAGTGCTCATGAGCCTACCTGGGTCAAAACGTGGGCCCCTCACACAGAGGTCACAGGTCCCCCTGGTTGAGGAGCAGACTCTGCGTCCACCTCCCCTGCACAAGTTCATGGAAGACTTGGTGTCTTCCACCACAGAGGGTGGTGGTGTTAGCCCAGCTCTACCTCCTCTGATCCTTCCTCACTGTTTTGGTTTCTGTGGTAATGCCCTGAGTTGCCACCAGGTGGTGCCAAAGGCAAATAAAGCTCCAGTACGGGCTTCCCCCACTATCTGAAAATGGAGCGTTCCTATGAAAACTTTCATAAGCAAAAAGGACATCAAGTGAAGAAACAATGACCATTTATGTGTTAAAAAAAGTTGTGTCTGTGAACACTCACATTTTGGAGCTAGCATGGCTGGATGCTGAGTGAGTAGTTCCCAGGGAAGAAGCTTGGGGACGCCACTCTCACTGCAAAACCAATGCTAAAGTCTCATTTTGGTGTTTACAACTTTTCTCACAAAAGCAAAAATCCTCTGTGGATATTCTTATCAGTAGCAAGAATAGGCACTACTGTTAACCTTTTGAAAAGAGCTGGCTCAAACTAGTCCTCCTCTATTGGAGGGCTCAGTCAGGTGACGCCAGGATAAGATCGTCCTGTCTTCCTGTAACTCGCTATAGGATAAGCACTGAACAAAAGGTCGGTGTTTCAGCAATTCAAACCCACCAATTGCCCCTCAAAAACCCTATATAAGGGTCACTGTGAGTCAGAACCCGCTACAACAATCCCACACTCAGCCCTGGTTACCACTGCTGCTGTCTCGTGTTCGGTCAGCCAGGATGCAGCCTAAGGCCGCTGCCTTCAGGAGCGCTAGGCCGATTTCCAGTACACGGCGCAAGCTCCTCCTGTTGGCTGTTAACTACCACTGAGTCACTTCTCACAGCGACCCTATGTAGGCTTGCTGAGGAAATCTTCACAGGAGTGGAAAGCGTTCTCTTTCTTCCATGGACCAGCTGGTGGGCTTGAACTGCAGACCTTGTGAATTGTAGTCCAGTGCTTGTCACAGGTATCTTGTTGTTGTTAAGCGCCGACAATTTGGTTCTGACTCAGTGACCCTGAATAGCGTTTCTGAGGAGTGGCGGTGAGTTTGAACCACCCGTCTTGTGGTTGAAACCGACTTTGTGTGATCCAGTTCTAATCCTCCAGGACTCTCTGAGAGAGTTTCCAAAAGTTCATGGAAAAATCCCATTCTGTCTCCATTCCATTTTGGCATGAATTTTTCGAAGCTCCCTCATATGTCTACAACACATGGGCTGCGCCAATTGAGCAAGAGCATCCTGACTTTCCACAAAGTGGAGCTCAGCCCCTACTGGCTTTGTATGGAGGGGAGATGTTGCCCGTCAGAGGAAGGTGAGCTGATGAGCGGGTCCCCCCAAAGCTGCATCACTGCCTCAGTGAGATCCCTCTGTTCCAGGCACCCCGTACGTCACATCGCCTTCAACAGCCACAGCCTCATCACAGCCAACGTACCCTATGAGAGGGTGGTGCGCAACCCAGACCTGGACAGCATCACGGCCCACAGGAGGTCAGTTCTCAGGCACGGTGACTCCCACACGACAGCCTGCTCCCAGTCTAGTCCTGGCACTGTGGGCACACAGCACAGTTGTTAAGTGGGTAGCTGTCCTGTCCCGAGCCCTGCCTCAGCCTCTCTGCTCCCTTTCTAGGCACCGGGGGCTGATCCACGCCTATGAATTCGCAGTGGACCAGCTGGCCTTCCAGAGCGCCCTGCCCATCTGCCGCTCGTCCTACGACACCATGGCTGGCTATAACTATGACCTCCCGCTCACCTTCCCCTACGACAGTATGCGGGAGTGACCTCAGTTGGGAGCAGGGAGAACATGAGAAGAAGCAGGTTTTTGAATCCTAAAAACAGGGGAGCTGAGCTCTGGGCTTTACGGGTTTGGAGGTAAACCCGGTGTACCTGCCCACTTAGCTCCTGTGCCTGGTCTTTGCCTGAGTGGTTCAGGGTGTCCTGTCTCTGCGCTCCTTCCTCCCACCGGGCCTTCGTGGGACAGGTACACTGCCCTGAACAGGCCCATGCTGGGACCCCCATCTCCTGGAACAAGGTCCAACTCACCACTCCCCAGATGGCTTCCTCTTGTGAGGCCTCGGGCTGGTGCTGGGGCCTGGGCCTCTGTGGTCTCTGTTTACTAGAGCAACTGCAACTCCCATGGGTTCTAATTGTATATTTATACACATCTGTCCTTTGTGACTCTTGTGTCCACAACATGTGATACCAAGTAAATCACAAGATACCAAATGTTTATTGTTGCTAAGTGCCATCCGAGTCAGAGCAGCCCTCTATAGGGGTTTCTGAGAAGTAGCTGTTGGGTTTGAACTGCCGACCCACAGCGCCACACCAAAAGTCCACATACTTTGTAAATAATCTTTGAATAGGGTCCCCCATCCTCCACATGAACTGGAGAGGTTCCACAGGGAAGGAGCAAGGACAGGAGGAACCAACATCGCCATCGTCTTAAAGCACTCAGAGAGCTGTTCAGGTGGATTTAGCTTCCACCTCTGAGTGTGATGAGCACAAGCCCATTGCATTACTCTGGATTTAAATTTATTCTAAGCTGCAGCTTCCAAGTCATAAACCTTCACAACATGCAAGCAAAGGCAGAGAAAACCACAAAGAAAAATCCATACTTACAGTGGGTGGGGCAGCAGATCCCATCAGTACAAAACTTGGCGATATGGAGGACTTGTTAATATTGTGACAAGCTTGAGTCTATAGATGGGTGCAGCCACAGACCATTAGTCAGAACTGACTCATGACACTTAACTACTGACCACACACAGATGACCAGGGCTGGTGGCCAGAAAGGAAAGCAGTAGGTGCCATGTAGCCCCATGCAAACTGTCACAGGAAAACACACACCTAGAAAGTAACACACTTTGGAACTAACTTGGGGGTTTCAAGATAGAAACCTGAACGATAGTGTGAGCACAATTTTAGAAGACTGGGGTGCAGCCAGAATGAGAGAAGTTATAAAGGCTTTAATAGAATTGAAGACAAACTAAAATGAATCAAGCCATCCTTAAACACTTACAACAGCACATGGCTTAAACCACCTATTAATGAAATTTAAAACCAATTGATTGTAAAGACCAAAAAGACACAAAGGGCCCTGATCCAAGAGAAAAATTAAGCTGGGTATGTAAGGCTGGGTCATGCTTTTCACAACTCCGAGGCCCAGAACACCAGGGCTGTGAAGGTACAGAGCCATCCCTGGGACGCCCCACCTCGCAACCTAAGCGCTATGTCATTCAGCCTTCCTGCCACACTCAGCCTGTCCTCTCAACCAAATGACTTCCAACAGGAAGCCAGCCTTCTGTGAACATGAGACAGTTCCCTTCCTCACACCGGGCCATGGTGGCCTGGCCCCGTGGTGACCTCGCTTTATCGGGCTGTAACCCAGCCAGCCCCTGCTCTTATGCTTTCAGTCCTAACGTAGTGGCCCCATAGGGAACAACTTCTTCTAAGCAGCAGGCCACACCTCCTAGCTATGCATCAATTCAAGATTAGTTGGAAGGATAAGGCCCAGAACATCTTATCAAAAATAACACCAGTCTTTGACTACAGTTAGCAAACAGCCACTCCCAGTTAAGAATGTCACCAAGCACAGGCTTTTCCCATTCGTGAAAGCTTACCTGGGTTTCACCGTGGTCACTTTGATGATGTAGTTATGTGCCGTGGAGTTGGTTCTGACTCATAGCGAACCTGTACAGCGTTTCCAAGGCTGTAAATCTTTATGGGAGCAGAAAGCCTCATCCTTCTCCCGCGGAACAGCTGGTAGTTTCGAAATGCTGACCCTAAGGTTAGCAGCCTGATTCGTAACCACTACGCTACCAGAGACTGGACTCAAAAGGGAGCTTTTGAGCACGCCCAGCCAGCTAGCCTCAGTCAGTGTTTGCTGCTGCCACCATCAGCACCTTGGTAGGGGGAAGGACCAATGTTCCTTCATAATATTTACTCCCCGTCTCCTGCCAACCACCTTACCTTGTTCTTGCTGGCTGCTCCGAGGGAGCATCTTTGAAGCTATAGCTGAGTGTTTACCAGATCTGCCAGATTTTTTTTCTTCTTTAGCACGTCTTCATCTCAAGCTCTTCTACCCAAAGACCCTCCTGAAGGCCATCTGGAAGTGAAAAGCCCCAAGGCTTTACGTCTTCCCTTACAACCTGTTGTATGACTTCTGCTTCCTACTTCCTAATATATCCATGTTTTTGTAAGATTGAAGCTCTGCAGTTTATTTATTGCTTACTCTTCACACTCTGCCATGCTAGCCCCTGGGAGACTGCAGCACCCACCCTCACCGCATCAGCCTTTTACATCTCACCTGACGATTACCTGCCCAGCAGTCTTTTCCAGAACATCCTAGCCCAGAATCCAAGCAGCCCACAAGAACAGCACGTGACACTGGGCAGATGAGTGGTGCCAATCTCAGCTGTGTTTCCACGGCAGCTCCCAGCTCCCTGAGAACATCACCTCTGCCACTTGATTGTGGTTTTCAATCCGAGCCATAGGCTGGTGCCTGCTGCTCCAACAATAATTCATGTCCACAGGGATTCTAGGATGGCATCCCCTCCCCTCACCCTGGCTTACTGCTTAGAGTTCAGCTGATTAACAGGAAAAACAAATTTCTCCAAGACCAGACAGAAGTTGTGGGCATTTCTGAAAGGGTAAGTGAAGAAGGCCTTTACCCAGGGACTCCTGGTGTGGCGCGGTAGGACCAGCACTGGATTGCGAACCACAAGATGAGCAGTTCAAGCCCACAGCACCGCTACAACCAAAAGCCAACTACCACTGAATCGATTCCAATTCCACAACCCTATAGGTAGAAATTGTTCCTAAGGGTTTCTGTGACAACATCCTTTATGGGCGCAGACAGCTTCATTGTTCTCTTAAGGAGCAGCTAGTGGGCTTGAACCCCTGACCTTACTGTTAGCCCAGTGCTTAATCCACAGCATCACCAGGGCTCCTTCTAGCACACACACACCCCACCCCACCCCCAAAAGGGCTTAAAACCAGTTGCCACTGAGTCAGTTCCAAGTCCAGCTCATGTCGGCCCAGGAGAAACACGCTTCACCAGAGTTCGCCAGGGCTGCTTTTTATGAAATGGATTGCCAGGCGTTTCTTCTGAGGTGTCTCTGGGTCCATGTGGACTGCCAACTTCTGTGTCAGCAGTCAAACACACTTAACTGTTCATGCCACCCAGGGACACCGCAGGACAAAGGGAGGCCCCATATTAAGAGGATGCTATTTTCTATTTTGCCTGTGAACTCCCAAACATCAGCCACTACAGACTAGCTTTCTCGTGGTTGTAGAAAACCAGCTCTCCCCTGCTGCCGTGCCAGCCTTCTCTCCACAGAGCTGCCTGCTGTTGGGGGTGAAATCGGGACGGGGAGGGAGGGGAAGCGGGGCTGTTGCCATCCTAACTTGGGGTTTGTGGGCAGCAGCTGCGGCAGCAGAGCCGGTGGCGGGTGGGCCCAGGCCGCGGCACCAGGAGCCTCACAGCCCTGCCCACATCCCCCACATGGCCAGGCCAGATGGCTACCTGGCTGCCTTGACAGGGCCTGCGGCGAGTTGGACAGGGCCCACGTCTGATGTGGATGAGCTGCAGTGGCCGCTGCTGTTGTGTGGGCTTCCAGCATCGGGCACTCGGAGGGAGGGAGAGAGACAGGACTCCAGGTCCGGAGCCCAACCTGCCATGCTCAGTCCACCCAGCGCTGGAACACATGCCACCTCTTCTATGAGGGAGAGGTGGCTGCACACTGCTCCCAGCTTGTCCCTGACCTGAGGACTCGGCCCTCAATGACGGGTCAGCCCATTCTGGAAGCTCTCAGAGGCAGTGGGGGATGCTGGCTCCTCCTGCCAGATGGGAGGTGCCCCAAGGTCACCACCTGGGTGGACAGCCTGCAAGGCAGCTTGTATTTGTCCCTCCATCAGCCTAGTCCGGCCACGCTGCACTGTTTCAGCCTCGTTAACTACCCAGGTGGGGACAGGTGCACCCTCTAGGTGAGGAGACAGCTCCACAGATGACTCTGTCTCCTGTTAGTACAGCACAGAAACAGTGCTCCAGGACCTTACTCCTGGAAATAATGGAACTGTTTAGTTAAAGCGCAGTAGTAATTTGTTCCCTAAGAGGGTGCACGGCCAAACCCTGAGGCGGTTGTAATCTTACTCTCTTCTTTATCCATAATTCATGTTGAACAGGGCTGCAGAACGTTCCCCTGGAGCTGAGAGGATTAGATTTCCATTACACAGCCCTTTTGTAAACCTACAAACTAATGTGTTTGTGTCAACTTGCCATATTCTTTCATGTCCAAAGGCCAAACTCTGGTCATCTCCTTGGTAATGTGGCAGCCCTGGTGTGGCTCTGTAGGGTAAGCACCGGGCCACTCACCACAAGATCGGCAGTTCAAATCCACTAGCCACTCAGAAACCCTATCCGAATGGACTGGACAGCCCTGAAGAGCGACATGGCAGTATAGGGCTTAAACGCACTGCCATCAGTGGATTCTGACTCATAGCAATCCGGTAAAGGCCTTCCGAGACTAAATTAAACCTTAATGGGAGCAGACAGCTTCATCTTTCACCCACGGAGCAGCTGGCGGGTTTCAATTGCCCACCTAAGCCACAGCACCACCAGAACCCCTGTAAATGGATGGCAGACTGTGGAAAGAGAGCAAGCTGATTGAGCTGGCTAGTAGCCCACCTCAGCCGGCCTCAGCCACTTCCCAACCTTCCAAGTACTCATCAGCCTCTTTCAATAGTTGTCTCTGTATTTTCTGCCTATTTCCTTTTTGTCATGTATCATTGCTGATAGATGGGAGGTGCCTAACAAATGCACTTGCCCCTTTCCGGTTTTAGAACAAATTGTGGAGCAAATACTTCCTGCTCCAGATGTACCCGGATGGGCGGCTCGTGTCCCTGTCCTGGCACTAGCAGGGTTGGCTGCACTGTACAAGTCCAGCAGGTGGCAGTAGCTGTGTTCTAGCCCCCTGCCCTAAGCTGAGGCCTCCCTGATGCCAAGCAGAGCCAGCGGCCACAGTGCAGAGGAGCCTGTCCTTTCCAGGAGGAGATCTGCACTGACCACTGACCTGCCACTCCCTGAACGACGGAGATGCCCGAAAACCACCCTGTGCATGTGATGGGTCAGCTCTGGGGACTGCTGGTGGAAATGCACGCAGCCTCCATGCTTCTGAACAAGCTGCCTTGCTTTTCAGTGGTGTGGACTCAGCCCTCAGAGAATGACTCGAATTTCAACTCAATGATTAAGTAAGCCATTGCCCAAACTGGAACAGCTACAAGGCTGTGACACTAAGGGCCAGCCTAGTGACCACATGTCCCAACTGGAATCCAGGGGCCAGCAAGACACTGTTTATAAAGCATTCATGTTAATGAAGTGCCTTTGAAGACAAGACAAATGACGCCATTGGGAGAGAATCCCAGGGCCCCCAGTGGCCGAGCTACTCAGTAACCATGTGGTCTGGGGAGAGGGGGTGGCTCAGTGATGCTGTGGTCTCAGGACTGGGGGCTGCTGCTTGGTGACACTTTGGGTGCAGGACTCTAGGGCAGGTGGGGTAAGGGGCTGCTCAGGACACTGGCCTCAGGACTCAGGAGGGGGACTGCACCAGTGCATGGGGGTGCTCTGAGACGCCTCCTGACGATGCTATCAATCAGCAAGCCCCTGACACCAGGCTGTCAGCGCATTTCCAGACTTCCTTTCAAGGCATCAAGGAGCCCTGGTGGTACTGTGGGCTAGGTGCTGGGCTGCTAGCCCCAAGGTGTATGGTTCAAACCCACCAGCCACTCCAAGGAAAACAAGGCTGTGGGCTCCCACAGATTTACATTCTTGAAGTCCCACGGAGCTGTTCTACTTTGCCCTACACAGTCTCTGAGTTAGAAATGGTTCAGAGGCAGTGTGTGGTGGGACTTTGTGGGGGGAGGGGGAGGCAGTAAGGGGGCCCATCACTTCCTCCCAGGAGGAAGCCGCTGATTGCCCCTGGTGTTCATCTTTCCCACTATATGCTGGCCTTAGAATGTGGGAACCAGGTCTCTCTTACCCCTGAATCTCTGCTCTGAAACATCAAGTATTTGTAGAAAACGACCCTAGACTTATGTAGAGCTCCAAATGAGGCTTTAAAAAGGGTTCTCTCAGGTACCCAGAGTTGAGTCCATGTGCCACCTCCAACCCCAATGCCAGGGCGCTAGACTGGAGGCTAAGGTCCAGCTCATTTGTCCTGGCTCAGAAGCCCGGCCCAGTTCTGCCACGTGCTCACTAATGAGGATACAGGGGATGAGACCCTCTCACTCAGCCTCTGTTTCTGTATCTGTACTACGAATTCTGTAACATCCACCTCAGAGGTTGTGCATCTCAATAAAGTAATGAGGGGCTTGTAATCCCCAGCAACCAGGACTTCTGTGCTAGCTGCTAATACAAAGGGACATGAAGAAGTCCACTGGAAAAATAATGAAAAGATCATGGAATTTTCCTACAAACTTTTTTAAGCTCCTTCATATTTTCTGTAGCCCTTTCAAGTCAATTATTTTCTGCTTTGAATTTTTGAAACCATGTGTTTTCAGTAATATGTATGAAATGGAGCAATTTTTTTGAGTAATATGAATTTTGATACAATTGTTAAATGCTGTTGAGTCAGTTCCATCTCAAAGTGACCCTGCATAGGGTTTCTGAGGAGCATCTGGTGGGTTTGAACTGCTGACTTTGCACTCACTAGTCCAGTGCTTATCCTACAGCATCACATCAGAACTCCAACTATTGTTAAGTTCATCAAGTCGGTTCCGACTCATGGAATCCCTACATAGGGTTTCCAAGGAGCAATTAGTGAGTCTGAACCACTGACCTTGTGTACCCACATGTAAATAGGTCCCAGGGTGCTACAGACAGTTTGCACTCAGCTACTGTCCAAAAGATTGGGGGTTTAAAGCCACTCGGCAACACCCTGGAAGAAAGTCCTGGCAAACTACTTGAAAAGATTCCTGCCAATAGTCTATGGAGTACAATGGTCTGATGTCATGCACACGTGGGTAACATCAGCACCCTAGTGCAACACAAGAAGCACTCCTGAAAGGACACCTAAGAACGGGCTTCTGTGACTGCCTCTGTCAAGGGACACTGGGTGGGTGCAGTGGACACAGGCATAGGGCAGGGGTACCAAAGTGTACCTCTCTGCACCTCATAAACATGTGGCCTGCCACTTCGTCAATATAACAAAGCCCACTCACGGCATCTTCAGTATACATTCAAGATGGCAAACAGTTACCCAGAGGAACAGTGGAAAGCATCAACAAGAGGGGCCACGTGTCCTGTAAATGTGACTACCAGAACAGGCCCAGAAAGTAAGCATTAGCTTGCCTGCCATGACCATGGGAACACCCAGAAAACCATCATCCACGTCACCTGGGAAGCTCCACATGCTACACCACCAGCGTCTCAGCTACGTGAATCCCCAGTGCAAGGGGCCTCCTGACCAACCACCTGTTTCCTTGTCCACTTCTCCCACCCCCCACCAACCCTGAACCAGAAGGTGACAAGAGGAGTGTTGGAGACACTTACCTAGAACTCCGAGTGACACTCACCTGCTGCCACATACGCTGAGGAAGGGCAGATGGCACAGCCTGGCAGAGCCTCGGACCCTTCTACGGCAGTCCTGTCAGATTCCTGCCCCACCCCAGCTGGGCAGACCCACATGGTTAGGAATCAGGGTCGAGTCAGCCAGCTCATCCCAAAGCTTGCTGAGCTCAATGGTCTCCATCCACCACCTGTCAAAAGGGGGTCAAGGAAGCCCACCACCCAGCCGCTGGTCTGTTGGCTAGTGTGTAGCTGCCACGCCTTATTTTATGGCCTGGGATGAAGAAGGTGGATGGATTCCTAGCAGTTACAGAAAGGAATACGGCAGACAGGCGTAAATACATCCTAAATATACACCAAACAGTAAATTAAAAAAAAAAAAAAAGAGGGTTGGGGGTGCTCCAAGGATAACGAGGCCACTCGGCGATTTAGGAACAGACCAGTACGCCTCGTCCATTAACAAACCCACATTTTATTAGAGGTAAAAACAGAGTTCCACCTACCAAGCGGCCACGGGGGTGATGTTTGGGAGCTGCAGAGGCAGGCCACCCACTGGCCCTTGGCCACGCTGCTCAAGGCCACATGGGGACAGTCCCCATTGCAAAGTGTGTGATGGACGTCAGGGGTGGGTCAGTGGCAAAGGGCGATGGTCTCCATATTCAGGAAGCGGACATGCATCTTGGTCTCGATGTCGATACCCTGCCAGATCTGAAGCAGACAGGGCGGCGTCAGGTCTGCGGGTCCAGGTCCCCAGCAGCTGCCCTCAGCCACTCTCCTGATGACTGAGCTGCGTGGCGGGCACTGATTGCACCGTCCCTGCTCAGGCAAGATGCCACCCTGGGTCCCTCGGGGACCCCCAAAAGGTAGATGAGGAGGACAGGGAGGTCACACTGCCCATGGCCCCCACAGGCGCCACACTGTGCCATCTGGGGACTCAAGGTGAACAAGTGTGCATCCCTTGGGGACAGCATGTTCTCAGGACAGGTTCCAAGACGTCCAGAGCAGTTTCTGCTAGATGTCAGGTGGGCAGCCTGCCCACTGCAGGAGGGGGGGAAGGGACCAGACTCAGGGCACTTAGGGTATAAACAGTCCACCCCACCTGTGCCCCCAGCTTAAGGAAAAATACCCTTCTCCACTGCCTGCCCTGCTTTCGTACCAGCCTGTTACCTGTGGTACAAACACAGCTTCCTTGCCTAGCCCCAGGGGGTGGGGGAGGGAGGGGTAAGATGAAGGAAATGGACCACCTGCATCTAGACTATTCCTCAGCCACAGGTCCTGTACCAACCCCTGCCCCCTTCTCCATCTCCTCCACTGGTCTGGTGATGTCACCAACTCGGCCTCTCACCTGGCCTTGGCTCCACGGGGCTATGACCAGCAGAAGCCCCCACCAGCCACCCTAAAGACTGACCCAAACACTATCTTGCCTTCTATTAAGAAAGCTAATTCCCCCACCCTCCACCCCCGACTTCCTGGAGATGGAGACAGTGGTATTGGGTGGTCACAACCAAAGTCTGAACAAAGAGCAGAGTGGACTAAGCCATCGGAGGTGCAGGGTGAGTCCTGCCTCAGTCCCAAAGGCCCAGAGAACAGCGCCACCTAGTGGGGACACACGGGGTGGGGGTGGGGTGGGGAGAACAACACAGCCATGTTGAAAATGGACCTCGGGATCTGGGAACATGAAATGTCACACGGCATGTCCAGAGGAGACACCAACTGTCACCAGCCGGTTTTCCTTGTCCACTGGGCTGATTTAGTTGTGCTGGGCAACAGCTATGGTCACTTTACCCTGTTTCCAGGGCCACGTAGAGGCTCTCAACCCACCCGCCCCTCCTGACACCGCAGCTAGAAAGCCACACACTGTCCTCACCTGAGAATTCCCCACTTCAGCCCCAAGCCCCTTCCCCCATCCCCAAAACGCACCTTCAAAAAGTCTTCAAAAGTGATTCCCTCGTACACCTGGTCAGGCTCCTGGGGACAACAGCACCAGACAGAAGTGAGCGGTCCCACCAGCCTCTCCCTTCCCCACGAGACGGGCTCTTCTGGGATGTATGCTGCCAACCTGAACCCCCACCCACCCACCTGTCCCCTCTCTCTGGATAGAAGGGTCAAGGAGGGCTGGGCATGACCCCCCTACAGCACCAACAACACAACTCCATCCCTTCACCAGGCTCACTAGGTCAAGGTGGAAAAGGGAGCTGGGGGGTGACCAGGGAGGTTTAGGGGCTCTCCTTAACCGTGCTACCAGTGCCCCACAGCCCACCCACTTAAACCTCTCCCGCCATTTCCTCAGTCCCTCCAACTAACAGTGACCCCATGTGACAGAACTGCACCAAGGGGTTTCAAAGCTAATTTGTCAGACAAAAACCGCCAGGTCTTTCTTTCAAGAAACTTCTGGGAGGACTCCAGCCTCCAACCTTCCAGACAGCACTTCCACGTTTCCACCACCCAGGGACTCTAATGATAAGAGCTAGCCATCTAATCTCCCTTGGCACCAGGGGAAGGAGCAGATAAAGGACTGTGCCAGGCCACCCATCCACCCTGCGTAGCCAATGAGTCACCGTGATACGGTCCGAGTGTGAACACAAGCTGGGCTTGGCCTTACAGGGGAGCCCCTCCCCATATCTGTTGGCAGGGCAGCTCCAACTGTGTACCCTGCTTTGGCACCCAGGGACGCCATGGACAACGGGGATTCAGTCTTAAGTCTCTATCTCCATACAGCACCACATACAGCACATGTCCCTGAAGAAAAGACCCATGGGTACGTGCTGATGTGGAAAAGACTCCAGCATCTCCACACTGAGTGAAAAGCCACAGAGCCAAACGTCATCTGCTCCCACAACACCCACCAGACTGCCACAGTCTGCGTGGGACATGGGGTCACATGTGAGAAGAAGAGAAGGCACCTGTAAAATCCCACTCTGTCTCAATAAAAATTCAGAGACACTTTGTATGTTGTGAAAAAACAAAACAAAAACTGCCACAGATGGGCCCTTAAGGGTGGATAAGGACAGCGAGAGCCAGAGCACGGTCTTTTCGTTTCAGAAAGAAACCTTAGGCACTCTCCAAGTGCTTGCTGTTACAGGAACGTCCAGAGCCTTTACAGATGTGGCCCCTGGTCAGCATCCACATAAAGCCCCCACAGCCCCACCAGGTGGGTGTTGTCCTGGGGTGCAGTGGTCTGTGGGCTCCTCAGACTGTCTTCAATATTGAATTTATTTCTAGTAAAAATATACACAGCAAAACCCAGTCCTGTCACTAGTCATAACAGCAGACTCCGTTCTTCACGTTGAATCAACAGCTGTACTACTTCTGTTCCAGCCGGTTCACTTCCAGGTCCTGGTCCCCATCCCCAACCCCCACATTTGTGCTTTAAAACAGCTGCTGACCTTTCGGTTGTCTTTTTTTTTTTTAAATAAACACAATGGTCAAGGGTGGAAATCCTTATTCTATGGGCTAACCTGCCACTGGTTTTAAAGGTGATGCCAAGAGTTAGTTTCCATATTCAAAGTTTGAAGAATAAGTCAGGCCCAATCTCAGAATTTCCTCCAGCCTCAATGGATCTGGTAGATCTGGATGCTTAAAGGATTTGAAATTGTCATCTATTATTGTTGTTAGGTGCCATTAAGTCAGTAGCGACTCAGCAACCTTCCGCACAACAGAACAAAACATTGCCCAGTCCTGTGCCAACCCCACAATCATTGCTAGACTTGAGCCGATTGCTGCTGTCACAAAGTCACTGAGGTCATGGCCCTCTGCTGCAGTTCATGTGCTGAATGTGTGAGTGTGGGGTTGGGGGTGTCTCCCAAAACCAGGACCCTCGGCTTGGGCCTGAGAACCAGACATAGAAAATACAGGCCAGCAAGGTGACCACAGCTGCTTGCCACAGGCCCCAGCAGAAACACAGCCCTATTCCCTCCAGGTTGTAAGGACCATTCATTTAGGAGGTTCACCAAAGAAGGGTCCAGAAAAGCAGCCACATTAAACCCACAGGAGCCAAACAGTAAGAGCATCATGGGACCAATGGAAAACAGTCAGTGAGAAAAGCCATCGTGAGGTCCCTGTGGGCTCTGGTCACTGTGTCAGTCCTCACCACAGAACAAGGCACAAGTCCCTTGCATTCTTCTCGAGCTCTCAACCTCAGATTCCTGAGTGAGACAAGGCTGGTAGCTATGAAACAGGCATGTGTATTAATCAGGTGGTCGGTCCAGGGCAGGGGGCATCCAACCACAGCTTCCACTTCAGAGAGCTGCTGTGGGGACCTGAGGGAAGTGGGGCAGCTGGTCACATGGGAATGGTCACTTCGCATGTACTCCCCAAACCTTCCAGCTCAGTGGTTCTAAACCAAGGCTGATTCCAGACCCCTGGAAGAGGCTGCGTTGTCTATAGAACTTTCTAGTTGTCACATCAAGTGTGTGGAAAGCAGGGATACTGCTCAATACCCCACAATGCCCAGAACAGTCCCCGAACTGTCACACATTGCTCCACTTGACCGAGTTCACCCTCAAGCTGGCAACCAGGATTATTTATAAGCACCAGCACAGCCGCTCTGGTGAGCCTCCATATGCCAGCACACGCCCATATTGTCCCTGCTCCCAACGGTCCACCGTCCCCACCACGGCTCCACCTCAGACCTCCTGCCCCAGCCAGTGGGGGCAACTTGGAAGCACCCCTCTGCTCCATGTCTCTCTTGGGGCCAGCTGGGTGACCTTTCACCCTCTACACTACACACAGCTGGTCACTCGTCAAAACCAAGCTCCCCTGCCGGGTACCCACCTGTGCTCCGAGCTGCTTCCCAGATCCTAAGGGTCTAGAATGCCCCTGTATTCCACTCCCAGAGGCCAGTGAGTGGTGAGTGGGGGCACTCAGGGCCTGCCCACCCCCCAGCCCCGGCCCTCTGGACATGCCACAGGAAAGCTGACTGGGCTCCCAGGGGGAGAGGGAGTGGATGAGTGGCTTGTTGGACTCAAGCCCACTGTCCCCGTCTCCCGGTCCCAGAGGGAAGAGGAGGGGGCTGGGTGTGAGCACCGGGCACAGCCAGAGCAAGCCAAGCTTTGGCTCACTGGCACATCATCACCTAGCTGTCCTGAGCTCCTGGGTCTCCGCAGAGGGAAACCAGGGTCCCCAAGCCGCCCCCCTGATAACACCCTTCACCCCCAGCCTCCATCTCCCCATCATCTGCAAAGCATCCTTAGCAAGATCATGTGGTCGGTTCTGCACTGGGTAGGGGTGGGGGCATTCCATAACCACTAACACACACCAGAGTCCAGTCTTTGCAGCGAAGACCAAGGTCCCCACCTGACTCTAACCTCACAGAGCCTCAGTGCTCTTGTCTGTGAAATGGGCACAGCAACGGTCTCCCCCAAAAGCTGGTGATGAGGATTCTGTTAGGGGGGCAGGTAAGGAGGTTGGCAGTGACCCTGTGTAATGCCCACCATCTGTCCTACGCAAACACTGGCAGCTTCCATCATGGCCCCGTCTGCGATGGAGCGCGCCGACTCCTTCTCGATGTGGGGGTTTCCTGAGAGCAGTTCTTCGACCACCTGTGGGGGCAGAGGGAGACAGATGTCAACTGCACACTTGGGCCTCCACCAGGGCGCAGGGTGGGGGCGCCAGGAGCTCGGGCGGGTCAGAAAGCATACTTTACATTTCGATATTCTTCCAGGGTGATCCTGCCGTCGCTGTTCGAGTCGTACATGTGGAACAGAACTGGGGGGGGGCGGACAGAGGAGGTCAGTCAGGCTGGGTCTGCCCTCCCCACACAGCCCTGCCACCCTCACCTCCCTCCACAGCTGCTGTCCCCCTGGAATCTCTAACAAACAAAAGACCCCAATCATGGCTACCCAATATGGGGGCGCTACAAAGGCAAGGGTCCTGGTGTGGCGCTGTGGGTTAATGCGTCAGACTGCGAAGCCATTTGAACTGCAAGGTTGGTGGTTCAAGCTCACCAGCTGCTCCTCAGAAACCCTATACAGGGTAGCTTGGGTCGGAATTGACTCAACGACACTCAACAACAACACAAAGGCAAGAAGTGACTGGCTTACAAGCTTTCAAGAGGGAGCCTAGATCCAGAGGACATGGAGGAAGGTAGAATCTCCAGTGTGTAGTATCCAATCTGTCTAGGTGGGGCTAATGAAGGGAGATGGAGATAGGACTCTTGTCTTACAAAAGTAAATAATTGTGTTACAATAGTAAATAATTGTTATCAGTACTGACTGTAGGGGTTGGAAATGTAAAGGTGGGCATTTTTGTAGCAAAAGGAGGGGAGTGATTGACTTTGCAGTCCAGGAGCGGAGGTACCTGGGACCATCAAGGGAGAAGAGCGGAGTGCGGAACCCTACCCAGAGAAACAGTGATGCCACAGATGGAGGCAGAGAAAATGACATGGAGAGATGGAGCGGCTGGGGACTCTACATCCAGAGAAGGAGAGGGGCTGTGTGCTGACGACCGGGGGGCAGGCCTGTAGGGTATATACCCTTTGGCTGATGATGCATGGAGGGGATTGTAACCCTGGCAATGAAACGATATATGATAGGATGAATGTAAAACTAATGTTCTCCCATGTAAGCTATCACATAATTCACAATAAAACATTTTTTTTTTAAAATCCCAATCATGAGCCCTAAATGGTAAAGCCACTGGAAGCAAGCAAGTTCAAGGGGTCAGGCTGACCACTTAAGAGCTAGGACAAATGACCTGATGTCACTGGGCCTCAGTTTCCCCTCTGTGAACTAGAACAGCAACAACCTTGGCCGTTGCAAACCAGTGGCGTTAGGACCCAGTGGATGCCTGAGCCAGCAGGAATACCATGAAAGTATATTTGTCTTAAAATTCACTTGGAGGATGGGTCAGACTTAGTGACATTCGAGTGGTCCCCCACTGACACCCTTACATACCCCACCTGCAACCCAACACCCATCAGAGCCAAAGGGAGGGCCTCAGGGAGCCCCAGCATTTAAGGGGCACTGACCAGACATCTCGCCATCTGATCACCATGCACCCCAAGACAGGGTCGACCTACTAAAGGTTCCAGGAGTGAAAGTGTCTGCTTACAGCTAACCCTGAGGGACCCAAGGACTGGACACTGAGTCGGGCCTGCCAAAGCCCAGCCACCCCAGACTGGCCCTCAGAGCGAAGCAGCAGCCAGCAGAACCTCTGAGGAGCGCAATTCCCACAAATCACACAAACATTCCAGAGCTAAATACAGCCGGTCTCCCCAACTCCCATTCCTTATATTGTCCCGAGCCTGTGGGTGGAGCAGGGAGAGCTCAGGGGTCCTGGGAAAGGCCATGGGCCACCCCTTGGGACTGGAATCACAACGTAACAACTCAGGCACTGAGGGGACCAGGATTACAACCCAGCCCTCCTAGAGGCTGCTCGTCCTAGAGGTTGCTGCCAGCTGGCCAGGATGGGGCCACCCCTCGAGGCCACTGGCACACCCACATGCCAGAAGAGGACACAGAGCCTCAGTCAGGAGATCTCACTAGGTGGGACGGTCAGATCTGAAGCAAACGTCCCACACACCTCAGGTCCCTCAAACACGGAGCGCTAAGACATGCCTGATGAGGCCCCTAGGAGGTGGGGGAGCCACCTGGCACTGCAGATGGACACTGGGGTCAGCGTGTCCCCAGTACTCCGCTGCTGTGCAGCCCAGCCCCCGGGCGGGTGCTCGCTCAGGAACACGCACATCTCAGCTTCTCTTTCCGGCACAGCTCCACTTGTTCCTCATCCATGGAGATGTCGATGGGCCGGAAGTAAGACATGATGGTCAGGAAATCTTCGAAGTTGATCTCGTCGGCCAGGCCACTGGATCCCTTGCGCAGGTTCCTACCGGAGCAACGAGGGTGACGTCAGGGAGGAGGAGAAACATTGGTCCTGGGGTCCTCGTAAACATTACAGTATCCGTAACTACAGTCTGATTAGGACATACGCGACCACTCTTTCGTCTGCTGTTTGGGACTATTTGTGAGAGAGGCAGAATGGCCTCAAAAGCTGTAAATATTTACTCTCTGGCCGGAACACTGTGTCAGCCCGGCTCTATCACAGCACACGTTTCGAGGACTCCTAGAGTAAGGGTTGGGCAGTATTTTGTTCTGTTGTGGACAGGGTCTCTCGAGTCAGAACCAACTCAGGGGGCACCGTATCAGCTGCAGGCCACTCCAAGTTGTTCTGTGTCAGAGTCTGCAGATGATTTTAAAGGCTTTAATGGATAAGGAGAGACGATAAGGGCTCAGTGTCAGAAGTCTCACCAGACAAGAGGCCTGGGGGTTTGATTCCCCGTCACTGTGCCTCACACGGAGGCTTCCTTGTTGCTGTAATGCTGAACTGCTTTCAGGAGGGCTTCTAGACTCAAAAGGATGACGAAGAGAGACCTGGAGATCTACTTCTGAAAATTAGCCAACGGAAACCCCTATGAGTCACAACAGTGTACCCACCCCCCCACCCCCACCAATCCTGGGGTCCAGGCAGTATTTTGTTCCACTTGTGCACAGGGTATCCGTGAGTCTGGGACCAACTTTACTGCTACTGAATCAGTAATGAATTAGGGCAAGTCTGCATGTCCCTACTGTGAGGGCAGGAGAGGGTTCTGTTCCAGCGCAGGGAGCTGACCCAATGCTGACCCCTGCAGGAATCACTGAAGCGATGTTGAAAGAGATGGTTCAGAGACACGTACACACACACACACACACATAAACACATCCATGGACATACAGCCACACATATAGTAAACACATGAAGAAACCACTATTCTTCCCGTGGCCCTCTGTGTTCAGTTGGGTTTGATAATTCGTTACTATGACCACACAGAACACAGAGAACACTGACAGCTATGGGCTTATTGAGGAAAGGATCAGAAAATGCTCAGGACACAGTTGTTCCTGTCACCTGCTGATCAATGCCCACAGGACACACCACTCAGCCGGCAGGCTCTGGGCACTAGCGCCCCCCACCCCTGCTTAAGCACCTCAAGGCACCCACTCTACAAACCAGCTTCCTGCCCCAAGTCATCGGCTGTACTTGCTCCGTGGGCTGGGAAGCTCACTGCTCTGGGTCCTGGCTGCTCCTGCTCCTCTGCCCCCGTCTGCGTCACAGCTTCCTGTCCCTGGGCTGAGAGGGTCAATGTGCAGGGATATCTGGGTCCAAAGGATGTGCTCCCCACCTGGCTCTTCTCTAATGGTAGAGAGATCCAGCCCCGCTCCTGCTTCTGAGGTGGCTCATCTTATAGCTACATTTTCAACTTTTCACAGTTACAATGAACTCTGCTAACTCCACAGCGGAACCATGTCATCCTATCAGTATCTGCTCCCACCTTCTCTTATCCAGATCCAGCAGGGCAGAAATGGATTCAGACTAGAATGGACAATAGATAATTCACACACCACACACTCACACTCATGTTAGCACACACGTACACACATGTGCACACCCACAGTAGAGCACACACACCCACACGTGAGTACGTTCACACCTAGACGTATGTGTCCATGCTTACATGGTCACACCTAAGACATGACATGCTCAGCGATGCATGGATCCAATATGTTCACCCCAGATGCCCGGTCCACACCCCAGTGCTGAGAACCAGATGCCCTCAGGCCTGTGAGCTCTCTCTCTCTCTCTCTCACACACACACACACAGAACCAGCCCCTCTCACTCACCCACATGACCCCTCCCCAAATCTTCATTCACCATCTTCCCAGCAACACCGCCAAAAGTCTTATCAGCCCCTCGTGGGGTGGAGGGGAGGCCACATCTCCATGGCTCTGTTCATCACTACCTGTCCACCCCACTATCCTGGACAGGGCCCTCACTTCTGGAGTGCTGACCACCCAGTCCTGGCCTCATGCTCAAGGCAGACTGAAGATTAAGGAGGGGCTGCTGAGCCAGCCCACCTCTACCACTGACGCTGAGGCTGCTAACTGAGACCATGTGACCCTCTGCATACAGGAAAACGGGGCTCTCAACCCACACCCAACCCTGCACGGCAGAAGGCACCCCCTCTGCGTAGCACCTCACCTTGGCTTGCCATCTCCACTCTCCCTCTGCAGCCTGAGCCCAGGGACTCCCTCCCTACCCCCAGACTCCACACTCCCACTTCCAACTCCCCACCTGAAGCCCACGTGTGTCAGAGCAGAAGTGTACTCCTCAGGACTTTCAACAGTTGGCATTTTCTGAAGCAGTTCGCCAGGCCTTTCTTTCAAGGCATCTCTGGGTGGATTCGCATCTCCGACCTTTCTGTTAGCAGCCGAGCACTGGGCGTTTGTGCTGCTGGGTGTTCCCCTCTGCCCTGGACTAAAGTCCAGCCCTCCTGCTGGCTACAGCAGCCCCTCCCTTCCACACACCCCAGCTTAGCCCCCTCTCAGCCTCTCACACAGCCATGCTCCTGGTGCCACAGTGCCTTTGCAAGTGTTTTTCTATTCATCCCAGGCCCTGAGGCGCCTGCAACCTCTAGTCCCCAGGCCCACTGCCAGCTACCCTGGAAGATAGGACACATCTCCCCAAGGCCCCACAGTGCTGGCAGAACCAGAGGTTCATGTCTGCCCAACGGCAAACAGGATGACTGGCACCCCCAGGGGAGTCCAGTAGTCTGGGGCCTTAAACACTCTCTGTCCATCCCCGTAAGGGAATCTTGAACCTCAGTAACACTGGACATTTGGAGACCTGGCCTCCCTTCTGGCCAAGATGTGAATGTGTTTTGTGCCTTAAGTTTCTCCATCTGCTAACCATGGTGATGGTCATCTAACAGCAAACTGGCCCTTTAGCGACCTGATGAGGCAGGTGCTCCTACCTGCACCTCAGGATGAGCCCTTCCCTAGCCCTCTCCAAGAGGGGGCTGAGTGAGCGATTCATTCCTGCGCAGAGAATGTGGCGAAGATCAGGTTGCAGAAAGATTTCTGCCAACGGGGGTAGCACCCAGAATACACAGAGAATGCAGAAGATACAAAAAACACACCCTCTCCACTTAACAACAAAAGATAACCTCACCTAAGAGTGGGCAAGGCGTCCTGGTGTGGCGCTGTGGGTTAATGCGCCAGACTGCCAAGTCGTTTGAACTGCAAGGTCATTGGTTCAAGCTCACCAGCTGCTCCTTAGAAATCCTATACAGGGTCACTATGGGTCAGAATCAACTCGATGGCACTTAACAACAACAAGAAGAGTGGGCAAAGCAACTGGACAAATGGCCCGCACAAACATGAAAAGATGCTCACCAGCATACAATGCTACGGAAATGCAACTCTGAACCACGATGAGGTACCACCTTCACCTCCACTAGGAGGGCAGTGGTCGGAAAAACAGGCAAGAAAACAAGTGTTGGCGAAGATGTGGGAAAGTCCACTGCTGATGGGGATGCAAAATGGTGTGGCCGCTGGACAAAGACTGTTCCTAGACTTAACCTCGTAAGGAGCAGTACGTACTCAAAGGGCTCGAAAGCACGCTAACAAATACCTGTGCTCCCATGTTCACAGCACGGTGGTTATTGCTGGAAAGTGCTGCTGAGTTGGTTCTGACTCACAGCAGCCCTGGACAGGGTTTCCAAGGAGCGGCTGGTGGGTTTGACCCACTGAGCTTTCGTTTCAAACTGACCTTGTGGTCCAGTGCTTATCCTACAGCGCCACACCAGGACTCCTATTAATAGTCAAATGTCCAGCAGCAGATGAGTGAACACACGAAATGTGGTAGACATCCATACATCGGGGTACATTACTCAGCCACAACGAAAAAGTCAGTCCTGATGCATTCAACATGGTCAAATCCTGAAAACATGTTGAACGAAATAAGCCCGACACACAAGTATTATATGATCCCGCTTACATGAAACTTCAAGAACAAGAAAATACATAGAGACCAAAATTTGTACAGTTGGGGGTGGGAGGGCAGGGCGGGAAGACGTTATCACTTAAGAAGCACTGAGTTTCTGCTGAGGGTGATGGGAAAATCCATCAACAGACAATGGAGATGGCTGAACATAATGTGTGTAATCCATGTCATGAATTACAGATGTTAAAAAAGGATGAACTGGCAAATGTGCTGGTATCTATATTTTTACCCCCATATAAAATAGTAAGAAGTTTGTTGCTTCTGTCATTTTGTTTTGTTTTTTAAACTTTTAATTTTGAATTGAGCGCAGGTTAACGGACAAGACCATCAGCTTTACTTTCAACCAATCATACGTTTTGTTTCATCTCAATGATTAAACTCCCCTCCCTGTAACAACAGTTACTGCCCCCTTCCCTGCGGCCTCCCTTGTCTATTGTCTTTAGGTCTTCTCTTTCTCCCCGTGTTCCTCGGTCTTGGGGAAGCCAGCTGCGGCATTCTGGGGAGCCCTATCAGCAGGTCCATGTGGCCATCATTACGGATCCATCAATAGTCAGTAAGGACTGGCGACATGCCAAGGTTAGAAGGGCAGCGGCCTCCCTGAGCCGAGCCTTCAGATAAAGACCCCGGCCCCAGCCAGCACCTTGACTTGAGCCAGAGGACCCAGCTCATTTGTAGCCATGCAGTGTGAACTGAGGCACAGAAACACAGAGGAGGAATGTATGATGTCTTAAGCAGCTTCATTTGGGGGTGACTTGTCATACAGCCACAGTTAACAAGTACAGAGGCTCAGAGAGCTTGAACGAGCTGCTCAACATCACTCAGCTTCAAATCCGGGAGTGTCCGGCCCGAAACGGGTGCTCTTAGCCTTCCCCTGAACACAGTCCTCCTCACCTCCCTCAGCTTGATGGGATGTGCGGAGGACACAGCACTGAGACAAGTTCAAACACTCGTTGGCGGTCGTTTCAGACCCACAGCGACCTTACGCGAGAGCAGAACTGCCCCATAGGTTTCCCAGGCCGGCATTTTCCTGGAAGCAGTATGTCACATTGTTCTCCCATGGAGCCGACGGGTGGTGCGTTCCAATCACCAACGCCTTGGTCAGCAGCTGAGCACTTAACTGCTGCACCACCAGGGCTCCTCACCTGAGAATTAACACTCTCTCCAAGGACATGCCACCTGCCACAGGCGGATCTCAAGGGCAAGTACCCACCTGTTGTCAAAGAAGGCACGGACGATTTTGGATCGGATCGGATTGAGCTCCAGGTCGGGGATGTTGCTGAAGTTCTCCTTACTGGTTTCCAAGGATGAGAAAATGCCCGGGAAAAGAAGGGAAACAGATGTCAGCTGGATTTCTTGGCACTTAAACAAGCTGTATTTTGAGCCCTAGCAGGTCCCAGGAGAATAGTTCAGTGGCCGAGTGTGCTGCCTCTCTTCCCACCTCACCAATCTACAGGCCAGGGCGGGCACCGCTGAGGCGGCACACAGGTGTCTTGGAGAAGCTGGCCAACAACACTGCACATTCATTTGTCGGAAAATGCAGAGGCATGGGCTGCGTACCCTGGCCCAGGGGGGTCAGACACCACCCGGGCCCACCGTAAAACCCCAGGGAGGGACCCCGGAAAGGGAAGGTAGCTTTGGCAGCTCGGAACTGAGACCAGGAGGGTACCAGCAAGGAACTGTGGACAATACTCTGGCAGCATCTCTAGAGACCATGTTACGCTATGACGGAAGAATGGACACATGTCTGTCTGCACAAAAACTTGCACTATTTCTAACAGTCAAAAAGCAGAAACAATCCAAATGTCCAGCTTCGGATGAACAGACAAACAGAACGTGGTCTATCTGTACAAAAGAATATTGTTGTTAGGTGTGGGCGAGTCAGTTCTGACTCCTAGCGACGGTATGCACAACAGAACGAACCACTGCCCTGTCCTCACAACTGCCGTTATGCTTGAGCACAGTGATGCTGCCACGGTGCCGTATTATTTGCCCCAAAAGGGGAAATGCTAAGACATGGACGAACCTTGAAAACACGTGAGTGGAAGAAGCCAGACAAAAAAAGACACACACAGTAGGACTCCACTGGTAAGAAACTTAGCAAATCTACAGAGACAGGAAGTAGAAGAGCGGTTGCCTAGGGCTTAGGGAGGACTCCTAGTGTGGTGTTGTGGGATCAGCCCTGCACTGCTAAACCACAAGGTCGGCTGTTCAAACCCACCAACCGCTCCTTGGAAACCCTGTAGAGGGTGGCTATGAGTCAGCAGCAACTCCATGGAACTGAACATTAACAACAAATGGAGAAGGGGGCCGCCTGGTGCATGAGACAGGATGTGGGAAGAAAGAAGATGAGGAGGTCCTCTCCTAACAACAACAGGGCCTAGGGAAGGAGCCCTAGTGGTACGGTAGTTAAAGCTCTCAGCTGACTGAAGGTTCATGGTTCAAACCCACCAGCCACTCTGTGACAGAGAAGCCCTGGCTACCTGCTCCCATAAAGATTTTGCCTGAAAATCCGAGGGGGCTACTCTAGTCTGCCCTACAGGTGGGTGGGAGTCGGAATCAACTCAGTGCCTCACAGGGAGGGCTTGGAGTAAAATGGGAATAAAACAGGACTTTCTCTAGTCAAGATAAAAATGTTCTCAAGTTAGAACATGGTGATTCTTGGTTATACAATTCTATACAGACACGGACTTTTACACTTTACATTGAGTGGCCTTTACGGGATGTGAATTGTGTCCCAACAAAGGCGCTTTAGGGAAAAAGGGGAGGGGGAAGATGGCTTGGGGAGGGAGCAGCTGCAGGTCAAACATGGTCGGTCACCTTGCATCCAGGTCCTGGGCTTGGCAGGCCCCAGTCCCTCCTGCCCTTCCCACACAGGCTGTCCTTTGTCCTCAGACTCTGCTTCCTGCTCACCTTTTACTTCGGCTCCAGGGACTGGAAGGGCAGTGGCCTTGGAAGAGACCCAGACCACAAGCTGATAATCTTGGAGAACTACAGCATGCGCAGAAGGGAGAGGTACAAGGAAGTCAGCTGACTTAAAACAGGGGGATGGGATGTTCACTAACATTTGTAACTGAACACTAGCATCAACCAATGCTAGAAGAGGCAAGAGCTAGCTAGGTGCCCCGTCTGTACACACGACCCACTGTGTGGGCTGCAGGCTCTGAAGCTACAATGCTTCGTCCTTTTACACACTTCACAGATGTGGACGCTGAGACCAGGAGACAAAGAGGCACTGGCTTCTTCCATCTCGCCACTCCAAGCTGCTTCTTGTCTTGCCCTGACCTTTCTTGTGGCGTCCAGGCACAAATACCAGTGGACACCAACCCCTCAGAGCCCAGCTCCAAGGAAGGTGGTTTGCTTAGGACACCTGGCCTGGGCGGAATTGGGAGGGTGGGATGAGAGTGATGTCTCTTCAGGACCCACACACCTGCTTCTCCACCTGCCACCACCTGTGTTGGTGACCAGAGCCTGCGTGAGCTGAGCATTCCCCAGAGGGCCTGAGGAAGTAGGGTTTCTTAAAGGATCATATTTGAGGGCAGAAACACCTTGTTTAAACAGTAAAAAAAAAAGCAAACTATATGTTGGTGTGTTGCACTGTGGTAATGTTCATGTTGCTGTGATGTTTGAAATACCACCAGGTAGACAGGTTTTAGCAATGGTCCAGGTTGAGAGACCAGGGAGAAGGGCCTGGTGCTCCATTGAAAAGTAGCCAGTGAGAATCCTATGGATTATAGCAGAGCACAGCTGGGTCTAGGGCTGGAAGACAGTCCCCTCGGCAGGAAGGCCCTCAGAACACACAGTGGTGGTACAATGGTGGTGAGGATGGAGCAGATCGGGCAGGGTTTGAGTTAGGTTTACTCAATGGCAGCTTACAACAGTCAGAAAGTGGAATCAGCCCATCACCTGAGGAACTGACCCTAAGATGTGGTACAACCATGCAATGGAGTGTTATTCAGCCATAAAAGGAATGCTGTCTTGACACATGATATGAACTGATGAATCTCAAATCCTTTATGTGAAGTGGAATGAACTAGACACACAAAAGGACCAAGAATGGATGATCCCACTTAGATGAAATATCTCGCATAGGCAAATACAGACCGACTGGTAGAAAGTAGATTACTTGTGTGTGTGTGTGTGGGGGGGGGGGGGGTCCTAATTCCTAATGGCTAAAAGGTATGCGGTTTCTTTTGGGAAGATGAATGAACTCTAACATTGATGAACACTTTAAATGGGTGAATTGTATAGAAAATCAATTGGATTTAAATACAGTGAATTATTTTTAAATTTCCTTGTTGCAGCTCTTGTCATCGAGTTGGTTCTCACTTATAGCAACCCTGTATAGATAGGGTTTCTGAGGAGCGGATGGTTAAGTGTGAGCCACCGACTTTTCATTTCAAACCGACCTTAAGGTCCAATGCTTATCCTACAACACCACTCCCGGCCTCCTAAATTTCATTAAGCTCTTAAAAAATATTTCAAAAACCCAGTATACTATGAGTCCGTTTATGTTAAAAGAAAAAGCAAACCTCCACAACGCAGTTAGAAGACAGAAGAGAACTGTCCTGGGGGGAAGGGGGGGAGCCTGAGGCCTCTCGGGGATGCTAGCAGCTTACAGCTTCTGACCTAGATACTGGGTTTGCAGGTGTGTGGGTTTGTGAAAGTTCAACCTAAGTGCATCTGTGCAGGGCTGACTTCCCCTGTCTCCTCATTAACGAGAGGCAAACACAGGAGGAAAAAGATCAGAAAACCAGAGCCTGCTGGGTGGAAACAAACCAAGGTTCCCCAACAGAGGGACCAAATCCTCTAAAAACCTGCCCGGATGGTTCCAAGAGCTGCAGCTTGTTTACAGTGCACCGTATCTCATGGGCGCCTGTGACTCCCCAGAGGGTTCCCTCTGTCCCCCAAATACAGCTGAGGAAGGCAGCACAGAGAGACAAGGTGACCAGCCCACAGTCACCCACCAGCTGTGTGGGGGTCGGAATTAGGTAAAGCTAGGCTCTTACCTCCAGCACCAAGCTCCCTGCTCTCCTAGACTGAGCCAAAATCCGCCTGCTCAATTTCAGATCCAGAACCAACTGAACGGCACTTAACAATCACAACAAAAAATGCAGTCCTGGTGTGGCATCAGAGTGTAAGCACTGGACCTCAAGGTCAGTTTGATCCATAAGGTCTGCGGTTCAAGCTCACCAGCCGTACCTTGGAAACCCTACACAGGGTCACTATGAATCAGAACTGACTCAACAGCACTTACAGCGTAGTGGTTACGAATCGGGCTGCGAACCACAAGGTCAGCAGTTCGAAACTACCAGCTGTTCCGCGGGGGAAAGATGAGGCTTTCTGCTCCCATAAAGATTTACAGCCTTGGAAACCCTGTACAGGGTCACTATGAGTCGGATCCGACTCCACGGCACATAACAACAACAACAGCGCTTAAAAACAACAAATGGAGAACTATGGGCCACGTGGTACATGAAAGTGGAAGTGGTCTAAAGTGGAAAGGATCCTCTACTAAGCAGCTCATTAGCATGAGAAACCCCATTAGCCGGCATCTTTGGCTGCCCTGCTGTAGGTTAATGAACAGAACCACAAGGTCTGTTTGAATTGCAAAATTTACCAGCTACTCTTCACAAACCCTAAACAGGGTTAACAGCTGCTAACCGACTCAATGGCAGCTAGAGGTATCCTGAGAGCTTTCCACTACTGTTTAATGTTCACGACATCCTGATAAGGTAGATACTGTTATCACCCTCTTAGGGATGACAAGAAGACTAGGAGAGGTGAAGAACAGTGACAATGAGCTCTTGCCCCTCAGTGACAGCCTGACTCTTGTCTGCCTCCCTCAGGGAAGAGAGCGCAGGCCCTGATCACACGAAGCTGCCACCCCATAAAGCTAGTTCTAGTTCCTTCCTCCTCCCCACTCTCCCTACTGCGTGTCTACTGGGCTGGTTGAACCAGCTGGGCCAGGAACCAGGCTGTGCAGCCATGGGAACTAGGAATAGCCTACTCCACCAGGGCAGGACCTGAAAGGAGGGTGACTGCCCGGGAGCACTAGAGGGGTGCCGGGGACAGACGGACAGATGCACACACGCACACACCCCGTCCAGTGTGCTCGGCACTTTGCATGCATTGCCACCTTTAATTACCCCACACCCACGTTCCACTTTACAGGCAAGAAAGGGAAGCCCAGAGAGAGGGAGTGACAAAACCCAAGACACAGCTGGCAGAGGGGATTTCAGCACTGCTCTGCAGGCCTCCCCTACCCAGAGCTAACCACCACAGCACTTCCTC